GACTAGTTTTACAAAATTCAAGGACACTCCAGAGAACACAATTCAAGAGTTCTTCAGGAACGGCGCCTTGATGACTACGAAATTGCAAGCAGAAATATGAGCACTGAACTTGCAGCATTTTGCTAAATTTGAATACTATGTAATTGAGTAAAAGTTAAGGAAGCGTTCCTGATGCAGTAATAATGTAAATGTAGTTTTGAAAGAGTAGTACAAGTTTCATTGCCAGTAGCACCGACTGTTCTCATTATCACCAATCCAACGGTTCATCTTAGTCGTCATCACTACACCATTCTCATTTATCAGCATTATTATTATTATCAAAAATATCAAGACTGCGAATTGCAGCTGAGCTAGGTGTAAAAGTGATTATCATTATTATCATATGATAATTACAATCATAATTAGTTCAGTTGAAACTCCTAGTTTGGTTCTTTTATGCAGCTAAAAATTTTTCCAGTTGTTTTAATCAATGCTGCATCGCCTGCTGAAAATCCTGGCGTTTGCATCATCCTAGAAGGATAGCAACTCAGCGATTCTCCTAGCAGAGTTTTAGTTGCTTGGGGATGTCTTGGTTTTATACTGACAGTCATTATCTCTTCCTGAGTGTTGCTGCTCCTGGACCACGAGCAGCATCCTGCGGATTAAAATACTCTGCACTTGAATTATTTAACAGTAAGATTTACATCGATGTCGAAAAAGTCAAATAAAATTTTTATGGCATTTTCCTTACTGCTTTTTGGAAGTTAAAATGGACTCTGTGATCATTTGGATCGCATTTAATCAGTCAAAAACGTAAATACTAAGAAGTTTTGTTATGATTCCTTTCTGATAATGCTAATGGTGCTTGCGATCGTGATATAAACAACAGTAATGATAACGGCAATCGCTATTAAAATCGTGGAAAGTTTTTCTTCCTAGCATTATAGCATTAGTATAAAAAAAAAGAAACCTTGATTTTGATTGCGGTGGTGATGAGAACGATGATGATGGCACAAGTGTTGGGTGTTAAAATTGTAGGAAGAATTTTGTTTTGTCGAATTTATAATTTGCTGCAATTTTCAGTATGCGAAGCTAATTTTACCGCATGTTGGTTTGGTACTGCTAACATGTGCCTACACCGTTGTTGGGGCGTCGATATTCTACAGCGTGGAGCAACCACATGAGCTGGCCAGCAAACGGCGGCAGGTACACTTTGGAAACCAGTAACTGCTGTGTTTTATCCTGAACTTGCATGATAGAGCCGCGGAGAATTTTCGGAAGTTTTTTCGAAGTTGAAGAAAATGAATAAATCATTCGTAGGCGTATTATGGAGCGAGTAATCGAGCTATATGTCATGCTGTGGCGCAAGATATGTTTTTTTTTTTTTAAAGAAAGGCAAACGCAGAGATACTGACCGATGAAAGTATATTGAAGGGTAAGCAAAAATGCGACTAGAAAAAGTAAAAAGAGGTGATGAAGTAAATGAAAAGAATGAAC